TCTATCTATCTATCTATCTATCTATCTATCTATCTATCTATCAGACCTACATGTGGGTAATTTCCGGTGTGTTGATGACAGACTGCTGCATGCCTCCTCCACATTCCCACCATCAATGTCTTGGCTCCTGGGGGGGGTTTAACAGAAAGAACTTTATTTATTCCAGTGGCCGGATCCCTTCAGTGGTGAATGAATACTAACTACTTCCTCTGGCTTAAATTAATTTTGTTGATTGTTTGAAAAAAGACAGAACATCATTTCTGGGACAAGGCTCCAATATTTGGATTAAAATCAATAATTTTAAATTATTCTAAAAGGTGGATCAGAGAGTAAACAACCAAACGATTAAACTACCATAACAACTCCTGAAACTATCAGTTCTGCATCTGAAATTCTCCCAAAAAATGCCCAGAACCACCATGAAACCCCATTAGCTTTGGGATGTGTGCACAGCAGTGGTGGGCTGTCAGGCCTAAGAAAATATCTGAATCACAGACTGATGGTAATTATATTTTGTCCATGAATACTTATTAAATATCTCTAAATAGTCTGTCCGCTTGCTTTCATAGCTTTTCCCCTGGTTGTTCTGCTTCCAGACTTGTATTTTCATATTAAAGCATTTAACCAATCACATTTCAGCCATCATCTGTTGTTAGGCAGAGTCAAAGTCAAAGATGTATGCCTGGAGTCCTTCACAATCCGTTCTAACAGAAAATAAATGTCATTAAACTGCTTCTTTAACCAGATTAATCAGATTTCAAGTTGGGGACACCAGGGCCTTCTAGAAGGCCTTAGGCAACGTCACCGTATTTACACCCGCTGATTGGATAGTCAGATAGCATACCTGCCAAAGCAAACAAACCAACCCAAACATAGTTGTGTTGGTGTAATAGCTATTTTATCACCCCACAATGGCTGAAGGAGGAGAAGAAATTGATTTGGTGGCAGATTTACTGTCAAGGCCATCATAAATAAAGAAAAAATTCAATAAAATATGTAGTGGCACTCTGCGTCCCAA